TATCCATGTAAAAAAAAAAATACCCGATATCTCAAAAATTGCAGAAGTTAGAGGTTGTACAATATATTGCGTACATACATCATACACACATACACACATACACATATACACACATACATACATATATACATACATACAGACATTTTTTAGGAATATGATTTTCCGACGTTTTGGAACATTCTAAACACACTGGCATAGAAAACTCGAAAAAAAATTTTGTCACGAAAACAAAGCTTCCTCTATGAGGAAGCAACAAGTTATACATAAAGTATATAATAAAATTTGTAAAAAAAAACTGTTAATTTATCGTTAAATATATTGAATATTATTATAATATTTTATTCTTCTAATCGTATATATTTTCAATGTAATGTGGTAATAACGGATTACAATTCTTATATGACATTAATATGTTGAATTCAAAACATATAGAAATATCGAAATACTGATAATAAGAAATATATTTTTATTTTTAATATAAACAACAAAACAGCTGGAATCCATCATTGTTATGTCATTCTTATAAATCGGTAATCGATAAATGCAACACCGTTTTGTACTATAGTATAATCCGCTGTTAGCAGCTATCGATATCTAGTATAACCAACATACGAATATAAAATCTCTGCAATGATAAAGTGACGAGAAAAAAGAGAAAAGAGAAGGGAACGTGCTGGGAAAAGATCAACAGTTTATCGAAAACACACCGTAGATGTGAAAGCTCAACGTGAGAGCGAATCGGGAGAAGAAAGTGTGTTTCGAAAAAAAACTTTTATATTTTTATTCACGTTTCTCGCGAGAGACATACTCGCCGCAGTCATAACAATTTAGTGCGATATCGCTTATACGTTTGTATCTCAGCAACCGAAAACATGTCCAATAAATACGAGACGTAAGTGAAAGTGTTCTCCCTTTATTTCATCGTGTTTCTCCACGGGCATTTTCGAGGTTAGATATATGTTTGAATACACAGTGAAAATATATGTCAAGATAAATATTTTCATTGTCGCATAACAATCGTTTGTCACAACGCTGTCCATTTAATTCGTCCTTATTACGGTGAAAATTGGATTTTTTGACGTAATGAAAGGAACATAGGCATAGTAATTTAGTTGGATTAGTGGTGAGATATCTCTCAATTCTCTTACAATATTTAATATATACTTATGATTTTTGTCGTGGTATAGTGATAACCTTTCACTTTGGTAATAGCCAATGTCAACATTTTGTGACAATTTTTTTTTTTTTAAGAATAATTACAGTAAAAAAACCCTTTATTGTTATTATATTTTAAACATATGGAAGAATTAATATGCAATATGGCAAAGAAGTCTCATTTGCTTCATATTTATCAATATGCAATATAATATATAATATAATGTAATAAATATTTAAGATATATGCAGATGTACAGATATATATTGTCATATATTTTGCTTACCTTGTGAATTATGACAGTACTTACAGATTAAAGGCTACTGAGGACAGTACAGTTGAAGACGAGGAGTCTCAATCAAAGGATAATCAAAAGGTCGAAAAAGGTCCACCAGTGAGTAGTCTAAAGATCTTATTGGTATATGAATGTAAAGATATTGACGTTGATCAAATATCTGATGATTAATATTTGTTTATAGCCTCCAATAGAAATAAATCCAAATGAGCATAAATTACAATATGCTTACGCACTCTGGTACAGTCGACGTAGTGGCCTTGGCAAACAAACTAGCATACAAAGTTATGTTCAAAATTTAAAGCTGGTTGGTAGGTTTGCAAGCGTAGAACAGTTCTGGGGTCTTTATAGTCATTTAGTACGACCATCAGAACTTACAGTGCATACAGATTTTCATCTTTTCAAAGTTGGTATAAAACCCATATGGGAGGTGAGTGTATTATTCTGTTATATAATATGTTCATATTACATATACAAAACTTATTATTTATTTTTTCTAGGATGAAGCAAATCAAAAAGGTGGTAAATGGATAGTAAGATTACGAAAGGGTTTAGTATCTAGATGTTGGGAAAATCTTATATTGGCAATGTTAGGTGAGCAATTTATGGTAGGAGAGGAAATTTGTGGTGCGGTTGTATCTATAAGATTTCAGGTAAACAAATTTCCACATTTATTCTTAATTTACAAATATAAAAGATTTTTTACTAACAGGTGAATTTTGTTTTTAATAGGAGGACGTAATATGTGTATGGAATAAAACAGCATCGGATGTAGCAACAACAGCACGAATTAGAGATACATTAAGAAGAGTATTACATCTTCCAGCTAGTGCCTCTATGGAGTACAAAACTCACAATGACAGTATGAAGAGTGTACATCGGCTTTAAAGTTATATAATTTTGAGACCGAGACATATTACGAGCCTTCTGACAAAAACTTAAGGTAAGTTAAATAATTTGATATAAAGCAGTATCAAAAAAGTCTTAAAGATCTTTCGTTATCTAATCATTGTTATGGTTTTCAAAGATGTATCAGTTTCATACCTCCCAGGAGATTGCACATCTATTTGACAGAAAATAAATAAGACGTGAAAATTTTGAAACATCCATTTGATGATACACTTTATTCACAAGTGTCTCTATGTTGTAACTTATGTAAATAATTCACATTGATAAGAAATAAATAAATACCCTTATTTCCAAGACGTGTAATATAAAAAAAAATTTTTATGTTTTGTCTATCCAATTTTGCATAAACATATTTCTCACACAAACCGATTATGCCTCTTTCACAAAATTGATCTCCAAGATCTCTATATATATATATAAAATTATAAAAACCAAATACAAAAAAAAAAAAGAAAAAAAGAAATCACATTCATTGTTACAAATGTTTTTAATAATTAAAACTTAGTTCCAACTTTATATACAGAGGAAGACCCTTATCTAGCTGTATATGAGATCATGTTGCGCGCAAAATATATAACTGATAGTTATTATGAATGGAAAAATATATTATAATGATTTTATACACATACAACATAAAGATTTTCAAATAAGTTAGCAAAAGATCATATATATTATATCATATAAGAAATATAAAATTTATCATCGGTATGTTCATATACATAAACACGTAATTCAAACAATAGCATTACATTGGTTTTCCAAATAGGCCTAAAAATCACGAGTCAGAATATGCGTCTATCTTATCGCGTAGAGCAGGAATATTTCCGATGACTTTTTTTAAAATAGAACTATTTAATATAATAGAAATAATTATTAACATTACGATATATTTATATATTTTTATAAAATTATAATTATTATGATAAAGAAATATCGCGGTATCTTGGTCGATATATAATGTTGAAGTTTATAGACTAGAATTGGGTATATTCCATAAGAAAAGAGGCCCAATATGAAAAAGTCTTGTATTAATTGTGTTTTTATCCTATGATTTTAACCTGTATATAAAGATTTTTATATAAAAAGCTAAGAATTTTATAGCCCTAAAACAATATTTGCAACCATACCTGCAACAAAAATTTATTACAATTATAATTATATATATACATATATATTCATGCTTACCTAATACAAATGAGAATATCAATTTAAAGTTCACAGAAAGGTGGAGATAATCGGGCACCCTTTGATTTTGTTCTCCTTCAGTAGGTAGAAGCAATCCAATTATGCATATAATTCCTGTGATGAGTGCTACGTAATTTGTACCTCCTAAAATATTTGTATCTACAATTATATTTTGTGTTGTTGTTTTAATATATTGTAATCACAATGAGAAATTTATCTTTGAGATAATCTTTTATTTATTATCAATTTAAAATCTTCATCATTTTACAATGGAAATATAAAATCTTTATTGTTTTATTTTCTCAATACAAAATATATTATCAGAATACATCTAAAAAATTTAAGCTTGGTTTGAAGTAATTGTAACGCATTTACTCACTGTCCAATGTCTTATTTCGGGTTATAAGTGCATAAGATTGCTGTTGCCTGCTTTCATTTATTGGAAGCTGTTGAAACATATCTGGATCTGGTGTTGACCTTCCAGCTGTATCTGATGTTCCAGAGAGAAGTTTAGCTTCAACATCTCGTTTACCAATCACCTAGCATGATTTGCAAAATTTTAATTTTTTAATAGACCAATGAGTATTTTTTTAAACATAATAAACATTACCTGCTTAGTAGGATATTCTTGCATATGTATCCTAAATTTATCAATTACATTACAATTATTTGCCAACAATGCTGTATGTCTAACAACAATATCAACACAGGAGCTGGCTTTTATTATGCCTTCTGGATCAACCACTTGATATTTATTTGGTGCAGTACATAGAACTAAAATATTAACATTAAACACATAGACATAAAATTAAATCTAAATATTTGTATTGGAAAGAGAAAAAAGATACCTTTGAATTTTACAGGAAAATCATATGGATTGTACAAAGTTAACACTTGTTTGTGGGTAGACTGATCGTCTAAATAGAATGTAATGTTTTGTGGAAACACAAAAATTGGTAATTTCCGAGGTGTAGCTATTAATGGCGGTGGCATTGTGTTTCTTTAACCTTGAATTGTCCATACACCTGCAAGATACAATATATAGTAATTGTATATTTTGCATAAAATATGTCTTACTTGCTAAAAGAGTATAATTTTATATATAAATTTATAGAACTTTTTTATAAGTAGAAAATTATACATGTAATACTAAAGCGATTTGAAACATATTTATTGAATTAATTTAAAAGAATGTTAGATCTATAACCTGATATATGAGGTTTATATATTATGCATTGCAAAAAGTAATAATAATAAAGCATAAATTATGGAATTATGTATAAAGATAATGTGACATACCTGTGAACATATGTGTTTGCAAATACACAAATAAAAAAATTGTTTTTCCAGATTCACGCTCGAAAGGAATCCAAATATCAGACAACGCTAATTGTCATCTGAATAAAATCACCTCAATATACAGCGAGATTTCACGATTGACGTATAAAAACGAGTGACATTTCGTTGATTAGACTTCGCGCCGCGTATCAAAAGAGTGTGTATGTAGAATATTTACAAAAATATTTACAAATGATTAAATCTCCTTTCGACCATCGTTATAACTATCAACAAGATGCATTCGCTTATCGTATAGTGTGTAGTCTTTGGCTGTCTCTCGGTGCGAATCTATGCAGCGGAATAGCGTAAAGCCCGAATCACACTAGCGGCCGCGATTGCGATTGCGTCAGCGATTGCAATTTTGCCTCAACCAACCAGATTGGACGTTTGGTACTTTGCAACATATATGTAGGGAAGTGTATCTAAAAAGAACAGACCCATATAGGACAATAGGAAATTTGTCTTGTAGGATTACTCCAACTGAAAACATATCCCTATGCCGCATCGCGCACTGTGCGTTACAAGTATACACATACAGACTGAATTCTTCTTTTTCATAATTCAAGATGTCGAAGAGAGGTAAGTCTTTATCGAGCACGAGGAAAATCTATGGGAATCGGTGTCGGGACGACGCATCGGTTTCGAATAAAATGGCGAAAAGACGAAAATATGTTCGGCCTATGCGACAAAATAAAACGTTGCTTTATTAGTGACTAATACGCAAAAATATTCATCATTCCAATATAACATGATATATCACTGTTTAATATAATATATTGTTACTCAAGGACGTGGTGGGTCAGCTGGAGCCAAATTCAGGATATCCCTGGGTCTACCGGTTGGTGCAGTTATCAATTGTGCTGATAATACTGGTGAGTCCTTTGCAAACAAAAAATATCATTTGCATAATATTTAACCTCAAAAAGTAATCGCGCGATTTGCGAATAAGGCGCACGTTTTTTTTTTTTTTTTTTTTAATCACCGTTTGTAATGATATAATGTGAAGCGTGAGTATCTCACAATTATTTTGTGTTCCCCAGTCTATTGATTAATTCGATAAAAATTGTGAAAAAATGTACGTGTACAAAACTAAATCTACTAAAAATGAAAGCCAAGGTTCTAATGGAGATGCAATAATAATGACAATATGATACTAGTACAACGATGTAACAATTTTCTATCCTTCCTGATCACAACTTTCTTATCAAATAATAAAAACAAGATAGAATATTTGCATAGATACATATATATAATTGCACATAGCATATATTTTAATAACTCTAAAAAATTGATTTATATGTATATGCAAATGTATAAATATAGACATTATAATTTTCTGCTTGAGTAAATAAATTCATTCCCCTCTTTCTCTTATCTTTTTTCCATAATTTATTTTATATAATGATGCAACTATTTTTTTTTAGGTGCCAAGAACTTGTATGTCATCGCAGTGCAAGGTATCAAGGGCCGATTGAACCGTCTGCCAGCGGCAGGATCTGGCGATATGATCGTAGCCACTGTAAAGAAGGGAAAACCTGAACTTAGGAAAAAGGGTAGATTAATTACTTTCACTTTTTTTTTTTTTTTAAAGATGAAAGATGTCACCTTTATCTCTTCAAAGAATCTTGAATAATAGCATATTGATATATATATACATATTCATTACAGTAATGCCTGCAGTGGTTATACGGCAACGGAAACCATTTCGTAGGAAGGACGGGACATTTATATATTTCGAGGATAATGCCGGCGTGATAGTTAATAACAAGGGTGAAATGAAAGGATCAGCTATTACAGGACCTGTTGCAAAAGAGTGTGCAGATTTATGGCCAAGGATCGCATCCAATGCCAGCAGCATCGCATAATCCATCTTGTATAGAATCCTGTGTGCCCATTACAAAAAAATAAATCTAATACCCATACTCTGGTCTTTGAATTCCTTTTTTAATATTAGAGAAATTTATCATAAAGAAAAACTTGGAAAAAAAAATTAAGCTTTCTCACATATTTAAATTTAAAACAACGATTTAGATTAGTATTGTATGAGAGTGCAAAGCCATGTAGCGGGATCAATCGCGAGCATAACAAAAACTGCAGAACTTTTGTGATTGGCTTTGCTCTCGTTTTGCGTTACGCTATTCTGTTGCATGGGTTTTTGCACCCTTAATTCTCCCTAAAAGAAAGAACATAATGGCTTTTGCACACAAGACGCGGAAACGCTTGCCGCGCGGCAAAAGGCGACGAGATAGCCAATCAACTTGCAACTTTTCTGTTAGAACGGAAAATTGATTGGCTACCGCGTTGCCTTTTGCCGCACGACAAGCATTTCCGCATCCTGTGTGCAGAAGCCATTAATCAGTTGTGATACTACATACTTCTAAAGAAAACGACACAAAGAGAATTCAAAAATGTTTGAAAGTCGAATGCAACCTAATTTTATATGTTTATAGAAAATAGAGAAAAAAAAAAATATATATATATAATAAAATCAATATTATAAGAAAACGTTTATAAAAAAATAAAGACAAATCAAAACAAAAGCGAAAGCAGTAAAACTTTAAATGGTTTTAAGATCGAAGTGTGACAATGGCTAAGATATTAAATTTACTAAAGACGGTACGAAATAATTGGAAAAAGTCCGTGTTAGGAATAGCAGCTTTCTCGTACGGAATTTCGTACGGCAAACAAACATACGAGTGAGAATCATGGGGAATGTAACCTCGTATTTTTCCTCATTTTGTTAAATTCACGTTCCGCAGTATTCTATACATTTGTTTACTCGCAATTAAGTATTTTATATTAGACAATATATTTTTATATCCATTTTTATGGATCCTTTTTGTTGAAATATATAATTACATCAATGAATTATCTTCATTATTTTTTAGTGTGGAACAATTAATGCGTCAGTGTTGTGAAGATGTAGCGAGATATGGAGACATCTCTTGTTCCACAAATGTCAGACCTCGCCATGTAACTGTTATTTTAAACCCTGCGGCCAAAAAAAGGTTGTCACAAAAATTTCAAACTGACATAGAAACTCTTTAATCTTTGCTAATTATTTTTTATTTTTCTTTTCAGGAAGGCCAAAAAGTTATTCGAGAAATATTGTGAGCCTCTATTGCACTTAGCTGGTATTTCAACAACTATTGTCGATATACAATCAGGAAGCCATGCACGTAATGTAATAACAAATCTAGAAACTCCTACAGATGCTATTATTGTAGCTGGAGGAGATGGTACTTTGTCAGATGTTACAACTGGTTTAATGAGGAAATATGAATATAATCTTCATTCTGTCAGACAATGTCCCATTGGTGTTTTACCATTGGGAAGCACAAATACAATCGCAAGCATGTTTTATCAAGGGTATAAAAATTTAGCTGACATACATCACATGATCGATGCAACAATGGCAATTATTAAGAATAATCTCAAAACGATAGATGCTATTGAAATCAAATTGCTGGAAGTATGTATCTTCATCGTTTCTCATTTCTTTAATGCAAATTAAATTGCATTGAAATATAAATTTTAGCCATATTTTATTTTAAGAACGATCCAGAAAATCCTATAAAACCGGTTTATGCTATAGCAGGCATAAAATGGGGAGTTTGGAGTGATACGCATGCCCATATTGATAAATATTGGTATTGGGGCTCCTTGCGCAAGTACATCTCTTAATTTTAGAACAATTTTGTTTTATATGTGCATTTATTTTGTCTTATACTTTCTCCTTTTGGATGCAAACAGATATGCAGCTTACGTATTCAGTGGTTACAAATCAAATTTAAATTGGAAGTGCAATGCAGTAATGAAATATAGCAATCCTTGCAAGGGATGTTCATATTGTTATTCCAAAGAGTTGTCTTATAATCAGTCTACGAATTTGAATAGAAGATGGTGGCATGCATTTCTGCCAAAGAAGCAAACACTTGTCCCTGGTAAAATGATTCTTATAAAATTGTAAAATAATTAACTATTTTTGTATATACACAGGATGCTATTAAAATAAGATAATAAATATACAAAATTGAAAAGATAAACTAAAATATTTGGGTAAAGTTGAAGAATAAATTTTTTGCATTAAAGGAAGAGAAAGATAGATTGATACTTTAATAGCATGTTGTACATTATATATATGTAATTTTAATAGATGAATATATTATATAATGTAATCTTATGATTTATTTCAGATAATCATGTCGATTATAGTAAAGTAATAAATGAAGATTGTGGCATATTTTATGAGAGACCTATTTCAACAACTGAATTATGCATAACTACAGAAAATGTAATGAATGTACCAGTTCAATCAATGCCTTCATTAAAGATAGCTTTAGGTGAGTTTAAATATTTCTATCTGTCATTATTTAAATTCGAAATTTAGTCAGTGCGAAAATTTAAAATTTAACTAATTACATATTCAGGCCCAGAGAATGTTAATTATACCACATTTGTTAAGAAAGGATGGAAACAAGAAATGAACAATGAATTACCAGTAAATGCGATATTAGATGCAAAAGATATTGAATTATATCCTGAAATAGTAAGCAGTCTTTTTTTCTCTATAAATATTAATAAAATTGCTCTTATAAATTCTGATGCATCTTGCAGAGAATGTATGTTAAAGATTTCAATCATTTTATCAATTGCCTACTTTTCAAGATTTTAATAATATTAACAATTTTATTTCAGAAAAATAATGATCAAATGTTTTACATTGACCACGAGGAGTACGAGTTGAAGCCAATTCATATTAAACTACTCCCACAATCTATAACAATATTTTGTCCCGAATCGAATAGATAACATATGTATTCGGTAATTTATAAAAACGATTCAAAACTGTTTCGCATTTAATATTCCATAATATATGCAGTAATTTTTAAATTATTTAAAAACGAAAAAAAAATAGAAATAATAAAATGTCTCGTTGATTAAAGTATTATGTAAAAAAATTATTTAATGTTTTCTATAAAAAAATAATTTATTGTAGCATACAAAAAAATATTTTGATTATAACCGTTCATAAATTTAAGTAATACATTTTTAATCTGATATGACTACTTAGTATAACGCTTATACTAAAGATTTGATTACGTCAAAGTATGTTTCCTTAATAATTTAATTGTATAGTTTTTTCTTAAAAACTGTACTAACTTTTCTTTAAAAACTGTGTTAAATAGATTAAATACATTATTGTGAGTAATACTGAGACGTAATCACTTTCAAGATCTTTCAAAATCTTTATATATCTAACTTTTTGATGAGAGTGCGTCTAACAAAGGAGAATAAATTAGTTTATACAGTAATAAAAATATTTTTATTATTTTATAAATTAGTCTAATTTATTAAACACACTTTCATCGGGAATGATCACTTTCGAGATATGGCCTAGTAGTAATAAGCGCCAATGGAGCTTGTAATGCCTTTGTCGTAATGCCTTAGAGGGCCCCTGATATCTAGATTTAAAAACTCCTTTGTGATAAGATATATGGCTTAAATAAGACAATAATTTGTACATATAGAACAACCGGGATATTTTAAGATTTTAATTTTTGTATTGCAAGATAAAAGATAGAGAAAGAAAATTTCTTAAATTTAATTCGTGAATCTGTCTATTTATCTTTTCAAGATATACTCGTTGATGGTATAATATTACTATTTTCCGCACAAGAATTCTTTTCGCAATCCTTACTTGTAACTTTGAAAAAATCTAATAAAGAAGCGCTTCTTGTTGGTTTTGTTACTTTTGGGGGTTCGGTTGATTGTGACCTCTTGGATCTTCTGGCACTGGGTGTCACTTGATTCCTGGGACTGCATGAAGTTGATTCTGGAATCTTGCTTTGCTCATATCTTTCTTTTCTAATTTTTGTCAACCAATCAACATTCTCCTTGTATTTTTGCGGTGATATTTCAAGCAAATGCGGCGCTGTACCGTCCATCACAAAATTTGGTAAGTTTAGCGTGGGCGAGAAAGGAGTTTCCTCACTCCTGTTTATAAACTGGCTTGTACTGGGCTCATCCGAATCGTAATCTCTACTCGAAGTAGTAGCGGTTTCGACACTAGAGCTAAATAGTCTTCGCATACCACGATTGTCCGTGTGAACTCGTTTCGCGACAGTCTCGCGATTTTCATGAATAGGAGATAAAATACATTTGCGTTTTCCCTCAGACCTCGAGCCCATTGTCATTTGCAAATAACTACGTTTAAGAGGAATGTGCCTGTCTCTCTGATGATCCTCATTGCTAGATTCAGGAGTTGTAACTGTGGAGTTTAAACATTGTTTGAAATTTATCATAGTTGAAAAAGGGCTAGGCAAAGGACTCGAGAATTCTATTTTATAATTTTTAGATTTTGACCAGATTTTGCCATTTGTGTGTGACAAAATTAAAGTTCTCTAGTAATTTGATAAAAATTTTATCAAATGTGATTTATTCCGAAGTTTTTTGTGCATGAAATATTCACCATTTATATAAATTTTACAGCAGCAATGCTTTAATCCCTACCTGAAGTATTATCTGAACCTGGTGTAGTTTCCTGATTGATGATCGAGCGTCGAGAAGTAGTAGGGGTAGTTTCTAAATTCATATTTTCTAAACATTTTTCTACTACAATCTCAGCATGACCACGTATATCCATTTTCTCATTCACTTTGTGTTCTAAACCAACTCTCCATATCCTGTGGCAAGAATCGTCGGAGCAAGTCACTATCTGCAATTATTCTCAAGATTAGAAAAAGATCATATTGCATATGACTCTGAAAATGTAAATTATAATTTATATTTTTCACAATAAATTTGAGAAGCAAATGATTTTAAAATTTTATTCTCATATATATTATTTTATTATTTATATATTATTATTATTTGTATGCTATTAGTTATGTTATTATTACATTATTATTATCATTTTATTATGATCTTTTGTAGATATAATACAAAATATGAATATATTAAGAGATTTGAAACCTTAGTTTCGCCCACGCTACACCATGCAATACAAGTCACTTCTTCTGTGTGGCCGAAAAGTTTAACTAATGGTACACCTGGTCTGTTAGTATGCCAAATATATGCCAGTTCATCACTGGATCCACTGGCAAGATAGCGGCCATCAGAACTTAAACAAGTCTTTACATAATACGTACGATTTTGATGCCCATAATATTCTGCCACTGCCATACAAAATTGTTATAGTGTTATTTCATAGTGTTATTATGTCATATTGAAATTGAAATATATATCAATGTATATTTTGAAAAAAAAAGAACACTAACCTGGTTTGTGATTATATGATGATATGTTATAAGCATATATAATGTTATCCATGCAACTTGCATACAATGTAATTCTAGCTGGGCATATTAACAATGAAGAAAAGCCGTTCCTAGTACTATTTCCTGCATAATTCATCAGATGCTTAGCTGTTGGTTCTTTCTTGTGGACAGTATAATTCTTGCGCAAATCCCACACTTTTATTAAACTAGAAAATAAAATGAAGATACATTATATATTTCTGCACACAGATATATAGGTGTAAATGCGATCTTACCCATCGCCCGCAGCACAAGAGAGTAATGTAAAATCATCTTGAAACACTAAACCGGTAATACTTTGTGCTCGTGATGCTTGACTATATGCCTTTCGTTTCATATTGCCTGTGCTACCAACATTGTGCGCATTGGCGATACAATTATCTGGCTTAGGTTGATCGGTATGGTTGGCTCTGATATCCCATATCATGATAAAACCATCTCTAGCACCCGTTGCAAAGACCGCTAAAATTTTAAAGGATTCTAAAGAACTCTAAATCCTATAATATGTTATAATAGACAGCAGTCAAATGTTTTTTATGCAAATACCTATTCTATGTTAATAAGTTAAAAATAAGAAATTAGATCATGAAAAAAAAAAAAAGATTATATAAAGATATATCTCTATCGTGTTTGTGAAAAAATGTACATTTCATACATAAACATTTCTTCAAAAAATACAAATATTTATAACATCCTTTAAAACAAATCTGATACCTTTGTCCTGATAACGAAACACTGCTGTTTTTACACTTCGCGTGTGTGCATGAAAACAATTAATTTGTTTTATTTCAGGCCTGGAGACATCCCATAAACGTGCTGTGTGATCTCCTGATGCTGTAACCAGTTTTAATTCCCCAGGCATCCATGCAATATCAAAGATAGCATTACAATGTGCCTTAAAGAATATATATATTTGGTTAACATTTCTGTACTCGTGCTAAGAAAAACTTATTCATTAAATCTGTTAATCAAAATAAATAGCAACCTGTGTTCCTTCCAATGATTGATTAGAATTTTCTTTAATTTTTGTATCTTGAAAAGCGACTTTTCCATCTTCATTTGCTAAAGCGAGAACTTCCTCGTATCCCGGCGTGGTACAAAAACGGCATGCAAATACTGGTGGTTCGGGATTATAATCAGGTGCATTTACATTCGGTGTTATTCCACGATAAATATCATCATTGTAGCATTTCAAACGACATAGAGCGATGTCATAATCATATATTAATCCTGCAACAATAAATGTCAGATACATCAAGTAGAGAGTTTTGTTATATAGCGAATTATAAAATTTTTATAATTAATAGCAATCCATTTTGTAATAAAATTTAACTTTAATCATACGATCAATTTAATCGCAATACAGATAACCTTTGTTTCTCTGCAAAATGTATATTTGTTTTCAAATCTTTCGTAAAACGCATGCACATGCTTATTCACATTTACCAAATCCACTTTCTCGTCTCTGAATAGCATTTGTTACATTCATTTTGCCTCGACACATTAATATACGTTATAAAATTGTTTTTAAAACTATTGTTTTTAAGATTGTTTATACGCGCGACATTTATATACGCGGGAAATCTATCAATCTTTCCGCGCAATTATCTTTGCTTGGGTTTATTTTCAAGTAACGCTTATATATATATAAACTTTTCAGCAAGAAACACACGCGTATGATATAATATCATACGATTGGCTATTAAATAAAAAATATTAGAGACTTCAAAAAACTCCCTATTTGATAACCAATTACATTTTCAGTACTGGCAAATTATATATTATACTTTGATAAAGACATAAATATTTTAAACATATTTCTTAAAATATAATCACATTTAATAAATAATAATTATTCCGTCGAATATTCGACTGTGATTAGTCGATTTGCTTGCGACTGGCAACATGCGATCAATGTAGAATGGGCTTAATGCGAAATGGAGTGCATTTGAAAGTACTCATAAATTGTATCGAAATGGAAGATACAACATAGTGTAGCCAATTAAAACTCGCTATTTTGTACTGTCTATTGTTCTTTCGCTTGAAAACCCACCTTGCATTAATAATTTGGCGTTGAAGATATCAACAACTGATTTCGAAATAAACTTCTTATGCTCCGTCCTCCGTCTGTGTTTCTTTTGTTTATGCCCGAACAAGCAGGCACGAGATCTGACAGAAAGATGGTGGTTATTACTGAAGATGATTGTCGTGACGGTGCGGAAGTAAATGTTACAGAAAACATGGATAACAATCAGCCCAACGTTGAATTGGTTCCAAGAACGGAAGAAAATAACGACGAGAGAAATGTGCGTTTTTTTATTTTTACCTAACATTTATTATTTATTTTTTGGCGGCCTTTTTCTTTAAAGAAAATTATATCTCTAGGATGAAGACATTAAACATACACGCATACAGAGTTTACGTTGGCATCTCTTTAAATATATATAATTTTCTTTTATAAAACATAATATACCGCATACGTGAAATAATCATGAATAATGTAATTTATTGAAAAATTACTATTATTTTTTTGGTCATAACCTCCTACACATGTAGGAATATATATGTTGAACTATTTTATCAAAGATTTAATTATAATTCAGATATTTTTTATAGGCAAATGCAGAAAATGATGAACAAAGAAGAAAGCCATCACGTTTAGAATCGTTCTTCGCCATAACAAAATCATTAATTATACGAGCTCTTATAATTTATTTTATTAGTAGCTTCTTTAGACGTCCTGATAATAATCCCAAGTCTCCCAATACCATTAGTGATACACGTTTACAAGCTGTAAATATATTTCCCAATGGAACATTGTTTGATCTTAATGTTTACTTGTCGGAATTTGAGAATTTTAAACAATTCAACGATCCGCGATCATTAATTTGGTTCGAAGAAGGACTGATTTATGGAGATTGGTATAGTGGACCGAATCAAGATGGGTCCAGAACATTCGAGTACTCGTTTGTTCCTTCAGAACATCTAAAACAAAATGGCTCTATTTATCTTCATATATACATAACAAAAAGTGGAAAATCACCAAATCCTAAAGCAGGCAAGGGAATTTATGCTGGTGATTATATAGCCTACTCGAGAAAAATGTTAAATAAGTTTAAAAAAATTAGATATCAGAAGAGACACAACTTATTAACTGGCGAAAGTACTGCTAGTAAAGAGGAGATAGCAGTATGTATATATTGTTAATTTTTGAAATTGCTCTTGTTTTATATAAATTGTATTGTGTATGTTAACTGTGTATAAAATCTTGTAGAAAGCTGAATTCATGGATCAAGAATATGTGTCGCACTGGCATCCAAATTTAACTGTTAATTTAGTGGTTGATCAAACCAATTGGGTATATGGTCAAGTACCGCAACCATTAGATGAATGTGAGCGAGTTTATGTTTATGTTATAATATGCAAATGTATTGGAAATCTTTACATTTTGTTCTTCTTTTAGATGTACATTTCTTACCTGGTGGAAATACATATAAGCCAATAATATATATGAATGATTTCTGGAACATGCAACGGGACTATCAGCCATTGAATAATACTATAGAACAATTAGAACTCAGATTGACTTATCAACCACTTTCATTGTTTAAATGGCAAATTTATGCAGCCCAGTCTGTTAGAAATAAATGGACATCATCAATTATGGGTTTGTTAAATTTCTAAAATAATATATATGATAATAAGACACACACACATATGTATATTATAGAATTTTACCATGTGAAAATGTCGCGTGACTATAACGTTTTATCTTTTGTTATCATTGTTTATTTAGGAGAAGCATCTGACGAGGACGATAACGATCAAGATACCTTGAAGGAAACTTTACTTGAAACAAATCCATATCTACTAGGATTGACTATAATTGTGTCAATTTTACATAGTGTATTTGAATTTTTAGCATTTAAGAATGGTAAGCAGTTAAAAGAAAAAATAATTTTGCCTTTTACATCTATAACAAATAATCAAAATACATTTACAATAACTGCAATATAAAACTTTTTGTTTTTTAGATATTCAATTCTGGAATAATCGGAAGTCCTTGGAAGGTCTGTCTGTTCGCTCTGTATTTTTCAATGTATTCCAATCTCTTGTTGTTCTTCTTTATGTTTTGGACAACGAGACAAACACAGTTGTGCGCATTAGCTGTGCAATAGGTTTATGCATCGAAATATGGAAGATAAACAAAGTTATAGACATTAACATCAATAGAGAAGCAAAAATACTTGGAGTCTTTCCAAAGATATCATTCCAAGATAAGGGATCATATGTGGAGTCTTCTACAAAGGAATATGATAGACTTGCCTTTAAATATCTATCATGGGCTTTGTACCCTCTGTTAGGTGGATATGCGATTTATTCTTTAATGTATTTGGAACATAAGGGATGGTATTCTTGGGTTCTCAATATGTTATACGGATTTCTATTAACTTTCGGATTCATTATGATGACGCCGCAATTGTTTATTAATTACAAACTGAAAAGCGTTGCACATCTTCCGTGGCGTATGCTGTCGTACAAATTCCTGAACACATTCATCGATGATATCTTTGCATTTGTGATAAAAATGCCGACTTTGTACAGGATCGGCTGCTTCCGCGACGATATTGTTTTCTGCATATTTTTGTACCAAAGATGGATATACAAGACCGATCATACTAGAGTGAATGAATTCGGTTTTTCCGGGGAAATGGAAATACAACTGGCGGAAAATAAGAAACAGGCAGCAATCAATGATAGCCCGAAAGACGAAGTAACGAAAAAGAATGAATAATATTTGTGATGTTTAAGTTAAGCATCGATCGTATACGTTATATCCTACATTGTCTCCGAAAATTAATAAAATCGTCCGATACCAAAGGAATATAATTACACACATTTATATTTATTTATATAACTTTCTACATATAATTGTGTGTGTATCTGTATATTCTATTAAAGTATTCCCGAATCCACTACATGTTATATGAGCATATTGCGATGTGCATTGTGAAACAAAATAGCGAACAATTTCTGCTGAAAACATCTTATTTCATTTTCTATCCAAATTTATTACAAGATATTACGAAAAGATTAAAGTTATTGAACGCACTTTCACATGATATATAATCTTATATTAGAAATTATAAATGTAAATTATATGCTCAGTAGCATTTATGACATTCGTGTATATGTCTAATTGTAAAGTGAATATACTGCAGCGAAAAACATCGTCCTATCTAACCAAACACATGAAAATCCAATGCATATGAACGATTTCAAACAAGTCATTACTCATATTATTGGGCGAGATATTGTTCTACGAAATAAAATTACTTTAATTATCATATATCTTATATGTGAATCTTTCTTTAAATAACAGATAAATTCGTATCCTCTTTATTATAGCATCGCGACACTTTATAAAAGTATACAAAAAGGTGCAATTAGCCATTTTTAAGAAAATTTCAGAGCATCGAAATTGGAGATCTTATATAAGATCATGTTTATTATTATTTTATATATATATATATATATATATATATATATATATATATATATATAAATATTACAAATACATTGAACATGTGTTTAACATTATATTTTATATTTCGTTAGAGTAATTGTATAATTAAATTATTGACTTATGTCTCTATATTTTGGACAATATACATTTGTTATATATGTGCATTTATTACATATGTAGGTACTCGTTTCTGAAATTGATTTATAGCGTAGTTTGTGAGCATCATCGCATGCAAATATGCGATGTAAAGTTTTAATAATACGATTCCTCGAGTTAAATTATTTATTTACAACCGCACGAGAATGACATTTTTGCAGAAAATGAGAAATATTTGAAAGAAATAGCGACTTATGTATTGTAACGTGATACGGGGATACTGTTTAGAGAGATTGGACTATAAAAATTATCATTTATAATAAATATATCATTCTCTTAATTTTTGTATTACTATTCCTCGCGTGATAAAAGATTATAAATTTACGTAAAAACTTGTACTCAAGAAGTTTATATGCTTAAAATTGAAGAATATTAATTGTTTTCAATTTGGAGAAAAACTCATTCTTGCACTAATATCGATCGATAAGAAAACACGGACGCACACATGCACAAAATAACGAATATAATGTTTATTCAAATCTATATTTGTAAGCTTCAAGCTTTAAATCGAGCTATTTCATTTGTATTATTTTATATCATTTCTCTACGCGAACGGTAAACGCGTAATAGATAAAAAAATTATCTTGTGTTAAATCGCACAATGAATTACAATAAAATGTGAGATTATAGCAATAGCAAAAATTCTATGCAAAGAACTTAACTTCATGATTTGATATTTTCCGAATTTATATTTATACTATGAACGATGCATCAAGGTTTCCTTTTTGTTTTCCTTTTCTTTTTTTTTTTTCCCCTTATAAAAAGGCACTTTTTCCGTGTGTAATATGCATGTATCAGAAAGCTTTTTTTGTGTATGTGTAATACATTATATGTATAATAGAATCTTTTCATTTCCCGGCTTTTTTATAATTTGATATTAATATATATATCTAAGATATTCATACATAATAAAGAAAAAAACTAAATTTCACAATTTAACAAAATTAAAGCTAATATTATATAGAAATATACCGTTTATATATTTTTTTTTATTTTGATATTTATATTATCAATAGCAATGTACTGATATGAAAATTCATACAGGGTGTTTCAAGGATAAATGTCCTAATTTCAAATATGACTAGGATCTCAAAAGAAAAAATTTTTCTCTGGAAGTATGTCCGTAAACCCTTTATTTAAGAAATATTGACATCTAAACATTTTTATTATAAAATTTTATGAAATTATTAGGTTATGATAAATAAATTAATAGTGTCTTTCAACTACTTTATTACTAAAAAAATATAAAAATTTTAACATAATTATAAATTTCACTATTAGAATAAATGCGAGGCGTAATGATGATGCTTAGTTTGCAAAAGCATCGAGCAAACTGAGAAATGTTACTGAGAAAGTTTCTCAGTGATATGTCGATATGGTGTTTGTGTACCGTTTTTATAATGTCAATTATAAAACATGTACAGTTACGAAAACAAGTATGTATTAGCAGTTGTACAATAAATTTATCATTCGTATCCATAACTTATTTAAATGTCAATATCTCTTAAACAAAACGTTTACGGGCGTACCTCCAGAGGAAAATTTTTTCTTATCTTGATGTCCTAAATTCATATATTTTAAGTTAGGACATTTAACCTTGAAACACCCTATATATACCGATAATGATTTTTACCAGATATATATCGGAATATATATCGATTTGAATACCGAATGTGAAAATGAAGATAATAATTGGCGCTATGTGTTCAAACAGTTCAAAATTTAACACAATGTGCTAAAAAAATAATTTAATTGAAGCTGCAAACGCGTAACTTTCTTAAATAAAAAGTTACATATATTTAATGTAGTTTAATCTATACATTTTTAACATTGGAAATAATAACGCAATATAATTTAGCATTTTTCTTTTTGCAATATACGCAAAATATGGAATCATAGAAAATGATTTATTTTGTATAACTCTTTCGATTCAAATTTTCAACTTTAGTATAATCTTTAAATACCTAATGAATTGAATTTTTTAACTATGTCCTAACTAAATAATATATTGTAACGCTAAACTTGAAAAAATTACTCGCGATTTCATCGTATTATTTAAAATTTTATGAATGTAAGAGATTTCTGCAGATTTTTAATTTTCATAAGATATTGAAGGTAAGTTTTTACGAGTAATATTGATAAAGTTTCATAAGATACTATCGCAAAGCCAAATTTCATAAAACGATAGAACTTGTAATACCGGAGGAAAAAATATAAATCAATATTGCATATCAATTTAATCAATGACGTGTACGTAATAAACTATACAACACTAATTAATCTGCAAATATATCGCTATTTAAATTTAAAATTTACAACAATACTAAAGCATTTTCTAATTATGATGTAGTATAGTTATGCCAGATTTCTATATGCGTCTTGTAGTCTTGTGAAAAAAGACTTGTAGCACTACATAAGTTGTATCGAATTAACGTACTGGTGAAATTTGTATTACATATATAATGACTTCTATATCTTACATACGTTTATCATTCAATAAATACTGCTTTCTTTCCATTCTATAATCTTAATTAAGTATATCGCTTTTTTAAGGACGACGCAAATTATTTATATATTTCTTTCAAGAATATAAAGGATAATTATATCCTATTCGAAGTTTCCCTCTTAAAAGATGAAATTTTAATGGGCGATTATAGAGAGAATAAGTTTTAATCATCATTTCATTTTAAGCAGCCTCTCTTGCAAATAAAATAACAAATATAAAGCAAAGACGTTTTTTTATAATGCAATATTAATACTTTTAAAAGTATCTAATAATAATCGAATACAAGACTAAAGAATTAAAAATATTATATAAACACCAAGTATATACGCGGTCAATTACTATATAAAATTACAAGTTTAAAAACATTAGTTAAAATATAATTTACTTATGAATGCCAGCAAACTATTGAAAACAAGAAAGTATGCGGGAATCTCATTTGTATAGGAATCCTCAATAAATGCGATTTGTCTCTCTACTCTTTGTAAAATAGGCACAGAGATATTATTTAACTATACTTTGGGTAATACACGAAACTTTATAAAGAGATAGAGTATATACAGTAAATTGTGATGTTGCATTACTTTTCTAGATACTTGTGCCGCATACAAAATGTATGCAGAGTTAAAATTGCTATTTTTAACGGCGTTGTCCGCTTTAATAAGCGATTTATAAAAATAAGATATTAAAATAACAAATATAAAGCAAAGACGTTTTTTTATAATGCAATATTAATACTTTTAAAAGTATCTAATAATAATCGAATACAAGACTAAAGAATTAAAAATATTATATAAACACCAAGTATATACGCGGTCAATTACTATATAAAATTACAAGTTTAAAAACATTAGTTAAAATATAATTTACTTATGAATGCCAGCAAACTATTGAAAACAAGAAAGTATGCGGGAATCTCATTTGTATAGGAATCCTCAATAAATGCGATTTGTCTCTCTACTCTTTGTAAAATAGGCACAGAGATATTATTTAACTATACTTTGGGTAATACACGAAACTTTATAAAGAGATAGAGTATATACAGTAAATTGTGATGTTGCATTACTTTTCTAGATACTTGTGCCGCATACAAAATGTATGCAGAGTTAAAATTGCTATTTTTAACGGCGTTGTCCGCTTTAATAAGCGATTTATAAAAATAAGATATTACGTCATTACACATAAGTGGTACTGAACTCCGGCTTAAAATTAACTCGTACCAGTTTCTATTAAGGTAGGTAAGTAGATAGGCATGTAGCAGAAAGATATTGAATTAATATACATTTCGCCTTGATCTATATCACATTGCGTGATGTAACAAAGTGAGAATAAATTATTGCGACTGATTGTCATATGTTAAAAAAGATAAAAATAAAAATGCACTTTTTTAGTGAAGAATATAATCCATGGAAAACAAAATCTATGTGCATTTCATCTAGAGAACACATTTTGAATATATTTAGAGTAGCAATTACGACAATAATATTTTCAAGCTCACTGATTTTAATTGATGCATTACTTGGAGCAAGCTCTTTTAATTAGCTTGTTGTGTTTCTTTGTTTTTTGAGTGAACATGCACTTTTATTGATCACTCATATATATTTATACCGATAATTATATTGTGTTTGTCGACTCTAATAATTGAAATTATTAAAATGAGTATATAATTTAATCCGGAAGTTGTCAGGTGTGAAATCTCTCCTTTTATCATATATTTTCAGAACTAAAAAATTCTCTAGCAAACTTTGATTGATCTCTTGCATATAAATATTACTTTAACAAATTAATATTATTCGCATTAAAAATTATTTAAAACTACTGTACTTTACAAGTACAGTTTGTTGAATATATATAAATATTTTTATACAATATTAATCATTAATCAAACGTATATTATTGTTTTATAAATAAACAGAGAATCTGAAAATCTATTTTCATAAAAATATTTGTAATATATTATTTTTATTTTAAGTTGCAAAGATATATCTTTGAAGGAAAAATATAGTATAGGAAGAGAAATGGTAAAAAATAATTTACTCTATTTACCAAAATGTTAACATATTTATCACGCGGGAGTTCACCCGACCACTGCCCGGTTAAGATTTCGAAATAATCAATAGCTAGTTTACAAATGAAGTGTGTCGTATTGCTTGTTTTGTGATGAAAGACTACAAAACTTATTCTAGAATATAAGGAGTTCAATAATCGACGGTACAATCGGGAAGAGTAATTTCTCATCACAGAAAAAGATCTGGCAACAACTTTGAGAAATCAACGGTATTGCACCGTCAATTATGCCAAACGCTCGCTTTTTTCTCTTCTTTGCATAGAAATATTTTACTATTTTACAAATTAATCTTTATACTAAGACTATGCGTTGTTTGTTCTACGGTTTTCTTTGTTGTTTCCTTTGACGTTGGCTCGTATAATGTATAGCTGCTAAAAAAAATCATTATGATATATTTCAAGCGGCTAAACCTGCATCTTTAGCCATGCTGTAGAAAGAACTAGATGAATTGCGAAGGAGCACTTCTGGAGAATCATATTCGACAATCACACCTTTATCCAACACAATCACCCTGAAACATTTTTATTATTTGTAACAAAAACAGACAATATAAAATACTTTTGTGATTTTAATTATCTTTAATAATCCTAATAACCCTCCTTCCTTTAATAATCTATCCTAATATAGGAGAAATAGCCAGAGAGAGAGACCCATTATGAAAAGTAATGTTGAGATAACACTACACACATACCTGTCTGAATCTAGAATAGTATTGAGTCTATGAGCTATTGTAAGAACTGTACAATTCTTAAATTCTTGACGAATAGTAGTCTGAATCAAATCATCTGTTTCTAAATCAACCGCGGCTGTTGCCTCATCCAGTACGAGAACCTTCGTTTTTCTAAGTAATGCTCTCGCCAGACAGATCAATTGTCGTTGCCCTACACTTAAATTCTCTCCACCTTCAGAGACCTCGTGCAAAAGAGCATTTGGCAAATCTAAAATAAAATATTAAATAAATTACAACTTTTGAAATCATGATTTGTCGAAAATATTCTAATGGAAAATCACTCGCAAAACTATAACGTACTTTTTATGAATGATTTTAGATGAGCGTGTTCCAACGCTCTCCAGATCTCCTCGTCGGCATAGCAATCAAAAGGATCTAGATTCATTCTCAGTGTTCCAGAAAACAATACGGGATCTTGCGGAATAATGGTCAATCTCGAGCGCAGATCGTGAAGACCCATCTTAGAGATATCAATATCGTCTATCAGGATTTTCCCATGAGCCGCCTCGATTATTCTGAAGAGTGCCAGAGTCATAGATGACTTTCCGGCGCCGGTTCTGCCCACGATACCGATCTTCTCACCACCGAGTACGTTGAATGTCAAACCGTTCAGCACGAGATCCAATCCCTCCCTGTAGCGAACCTTAAAATCCTTGAAATCGACACGACCATGCATAGGCCACTCTTTCGGAGGCGTATACTCCGTATCTTTCCACGGTGCTTCCTGTACCGTGTCTCCGTATTCTTTTATTCTCTCTACCGCGACGATATTGGTCTCAACATCGGATGTCATACGTACCAACCAGTTTAAAGTCTGGGTAATCTAAAGTAACAAGCATAGAATGTGAAGTGCAATCTTTCTTCATAAAATATTCAAAACATTATCTACTTCATAGTTTATAGCAACTTTTTAAGTTTAAATATTTTAATTTAGACTTATTTAATATCACATTGCACGTAATATATATACAAATCTAAAAATCACTGTATCCAAGTCTCCCAATAGCCAAATTGATCAATTCTATTTTTTGTAAATTTTTTAATTTTGATACAAGAGCACATGATTAAAAAACCCTGTAGTATTAAAATTGAGAAATTTACAAAAAGTGAAGCTGAGTAGTGTCAGCTTCTGAGAAATTTATATATTATCGATTTTGATATCTTACTTGTAAGGCGTAGCTAACTGATAAACCGACAAGTCCCGAACTCATAGTATCTCTAGCCAAAACAGCAAACAATGCTGCAAAGAATATAATTAAATTTCCAACCATCTCCAGTCTCACGGCCAACCATCTACAACATATGCGTTTTATTTAATAATCATGTATAGAGAAAAATGCAGTAATATCATTTTATATCGATATACATACATACCTATTCGCAATAATACTAGGATAATAACACACTTGATTGAAGTCTACTCTATTTTCAGATTCGTGAATAAATTGTTCTTGCACGCCATATGCTCTAATTATTTGTGCACCTAAAAATAAAATAAATAAATACATTACTTTTTAATGTTAAAAACAAGAATAAACAATATATTGTGGAGTATGCATATATATATATATATATATATATACACATACATACATACATATTATCTCCTTGTATCACAGGGAAAACTAAAATAAATTCAGTTTCATAAGATAATAAATAATGTGTATAAACAGTTTTTTATTTAACATGCAAAAAGTTATTTATGATATTTTTAAAATTATTATTATTATAATCGGAAGGCATAATGACATAAGGCTGATTGGATCTGAGTTGACATAAGGTATACAATTATTATAAATGTAAAATATAATGCTCCAATGAATGTGTTTTTAATTCTATAATATTGTATATCTTATTAGAACTGTTATGTAACTTATATTTAGTTTTATAATTATTAGCCACACAATTATATAACTATATGTTACATAAGATATGTAACAATGCAAATATCACCTTTTTAATATTAAAAAAAAAAAAAAAAAATATATTGTGGAGTATATATATATATATATATATATATATATATATATATATAAAACTTTAAGAACGTACCAGTTACCGACTCACTAAAATGCGAATATATAGGAGATCTTGACACAGATTCTAATCGTTTTAATTGGCGCGACGACGCAACGTAAAAACGTTGAATAAAATAATAAATCGCGCCTATTGGCACTATCACCATGATAAATATAGGTGTACTGTAGCTTATGACAACGAGAGTAGCTATGACCTGTAATACATGTAGCCATTAATAACACTGAAAAAGTACATCGTTTTATTTGATTATTTTTTGTAAAATGTACAATGTAAAATGTGACATTTCTGTATAATGCAATATAAATTAATCAGAATAAAAGAAAGATATATAAGGTGTGTGTAAATGATATAATAGAATCGGAAAATATAATCAAACAAATCGTCTCTATAAGAAAAATATAAATAAAAGGATGATAATCACATGCAGAACTTGTGGCAGAAGCACATGTTTTTTATAAACAGCAGTTGTTTACAAAAAAAAAAGATAAATTGACAAAGTCGTTTTATAGGCCCACCAACATATACCACGAATATGATTATATTGCTATGCATTAGACAAGTACAAATTTAAGCATTAGCATCAAATATGTGTGTTTTTTTTAGTCATAATCGATACTCTGTTAAAGTATCTTCTACTGATATACATAGTAATCCATCAACTGCAATCATTCTATGAGAATGGACACAATTATACTTAAATTCTACAGCACATTTACTCCATGTATATTTTTAATGTATTTATTCGCGCAAAATTTCTCACCAGTTTTTAAAGCTAGTGAAAATGTTCATACAGATACCCAGTGTACAGTATATACTAACACCATCATTATTCACAGGCATTTCTTAACAAATATACAAATTCTATATTTGATCGCAACCTATAAGATGTTCTCTACATACATGATGAAAAATAAAGATGAATGATATGAAAACCGATGAAGTTGAGAAGATAAATGGGAAAGCAATGATAAGAATCCCACAAACAGGCTATTCTCTGCACATTACGAAAAGATTACCTCGAACAAGCAATAGATGGTATCAGAAATTTGTGCAGGAAGAGATGTATCCAGTACGTCGACGTCTTTAGAAAACCTGGAGATAATACGACCAATAGGAGTCGTATCAAAGAAGGTCAATGGAGCACGCATCACAGCACGCAGCATCACTATGTGCATCTGACGAGCAGCCAACCAACAGCCCAGCTGCGGTGCCAAATCGCAGAAAAAACTCGCCATCGCTACAACATCAGACATGGATGACTTTCATTGTAACCGCATATTTTTTGATACGATTTGTGAAACACACAAATCGATTAATGAACATTAATCAATCAAAATTTCATAAGCAGGTATATGTGCTAAATGAGATATATTATACATATAATAAGAATAACTTTTCCTTTTGCGCGTGCGGTTTGTTTGTATATTAAATTTTTTTTTATTTAAACGGTTTTTTTCCAAGATTGTTATATTTAATTACAGAATAAGCTGTAAGAAATAAAAAATTTATTTTTTTTTATTGTTTGTAATATTGCTCGATATTCAAATACATTTGCAATATCATGAACTTAAACTACTGCTTTTGTCTCATGTTATGCGAAGGTGTGAAGTTTGCTGTGACATACCAGACATATAGCAACAGGAAATATAAATAAAAAAAATTACATATTCCCAGAAGTCAGAACCGCAATTACAAGGATGTTATACAAGCAAATATAGAGTAAGCATTATCAAGCACAGGCAAGACCTTTTCTGCACACAAATATTACTGGTATAATTGTGTCCATTCGTTGATCACTATAGTGTAGTTGCGCTATAATTATATATAGTATTTACACAAATTAGTTACATGAGAGAAAGGTGAAATAAGATTTAAAAAATTACGACATAATCTTTCAACAATATAACTGAAAGAATTCAATACGAACGTAAAATTAATTCAAGATATAAATATAAAATAATTGGGTTGGATTTTGCAAAGCGATGCGAGATTGATGATTTTTGAAGCAAAATTCTATCTTGAGTAATATGAAAAATTATCATTATGTAACATCTCTGAGTCATCAGATTCAAACACACGTACACTAATAATAAACAAGAATAAGCATTATCAACATTAACAGTCTAAGAAGAAGACGAACAACAGGATATCCTGCAATCCTGCTAAACCATTACATATCCTTGAAGTGGTGAAAATAATTTACACATACTATAAATTAGTATTCGATCAATGAATTTTGCGACATTATGAAATAGGCAATGTGGTATAAAATCGGGTAGAAACACATTCGTGTTTCGTTGAATAATAAATCATGTCATGTCTTTACAAAATATTCAAAAATGGAATAGTTAAGGTCTGTTCACGAAAAAGGTATTAGTCTTCTAAGTACGATTTTGCGCGTATTCTTCTATATATATATATATATATATATATATATATATATATATATATATATATATATATATATATATATATATATATATATATATATATATATATATATATATATATATATATATATATATATATATATATATATATATATATATATATATATATATATATATATATATATATATATATATATATATAGAAGAATACGCGCAAAATCGTACTTAGAAGACTAATACCTTTTTCGTGAACAGACCTTAACTATTCCATTTTTGAATATTTTGTAAAGACATGACATGATTTATTATTCAACGAAACACGAATGTGTTTCTACCCGATTTTATACCACATTGCCTATTTCATAATGTCGCAAAATTCATTGATCGAATACTAATTTATAGTATGTGTAAATTATTTTCACCACTTCAAGGATATGTAATGGTTTAGCAGGATTGCAGGATATCCTGTTGTTCGTCTTCTTCTTAGACTGTTAATGTTGATAATGCTTATTCTTGTTTATTATTAGTGTACGTGTGTTTGAATCTGATGACTCAGAGATGTTACATAATGATAATTTTTCATATTACTCAAGATAGAATTTTGCTTCAAAAATCATCAATCTCGCATCGCTTTGCAAAATCCAACCCAATTATTTTATATTTATATCTTGAATTAATTTTACGTTCGTATTGAATTCTTTCAGTTATATTGTTGAAAGATTATGTCGTAATTTTTTAAATCTTATTTCACCTTTCTCTCATGTAACTAATTTGTGTAAATACTATATATAATTATAGCGCAACTACACTATAGTGATCAACGAATGGACACAATTATACCAGTAATATTTGTGTGCAGAAAAGGTCTTGCCTGTGCTTGATAATGCTTACTCTATATTTGCTTGTATAACATCCTTGTAATTGCGGTTCTGACTTCTGGGAATATGTAATTTTTTTTATTTATATTTCCTGTTGCTATATGTCTGGTATGTCACAGCAAACTTCACACTATATTTATTTATTTATTATATCTTTAAAACTTTTTACAAACCCCACTAAACATTATTGATAAAAATCAATTACTTGTTAATCGATTTTGTAAATACAGTGACGTTCTTCTCATCAGAGCTTTTCATTCCTGTATACTTGAAAAGACGAATCATATCATATCATTAGCGGAAACGTAATAAGCAATTGTTATAGACTACGTTGTTACTTGATCGCCTAAACGCACAAACGCACGGGTAAACCGCTCAAACATTGTTCGATATAAATTGCAGCCAAGTAAACAGCATTTTGAGAATACTTCTTATGTCTTCCATGTCCACATGCATTCATTAATCCACTATGCTATATTGATTGGCGACAACTTTTTATATATGTATATATTTAAAATAGCATACCCGTGCCTATGTACACTTAGCCGACAACAAGCTAACGACATTATTACTATGGCCTTGCTATTTTTCTTAAAATTTCAAACCTTGTTATTAAACTGAGATAACTTCAATTTCTTAAATTTTTAATAGAAAAAGATCAGATCCAAGTTCGACAAGTATACATCGCTATTATGAATCCGCATCTTTTCAAGTGTATCTCCAAGTGTGTCTCTTAAATATTTAGAACAATTACACTCGTGATATAATTTTATCCGAGAAAAAAAAAACAGGACTTTTATTTTAAATTAATTTCATCGTTTTGACTTATCATAATATTTATTTTAAATTAAAATATCGAATATGGAATAACACACAAATTATCGGAGTGAAACGTGAATTATTTGTCAGTATAATAAAAAATAAGAAATATTTCGTGTGTAAAAACTATCAATACTGTCAAAATAAATTTAACAATATACAAAATTAAATTGAAATAAAGGGGGACATAAAACTGTAAGAAATGTTCTTTTGACAGTAAGAGAGACGTAATATTAATTTATAATAATTGTCACAAAATCATTATTTATGTGTGTAATAGCGTGCGTATAGTTATATGAGAATATCATACCGAAAAGAGGCAAGTGATCCAAGAACGTAGAATAATCGGTAGAACATTGTCAACGACATCAATATCTTTACCAAGCCGACTAAGGATTCGACCAGTCGGAGTTCTGTCAAAAAACGACATTGGGTTGTGAAGAACGTGTTGCAGTGTACTTTGGAAGAGACGACTAGAAGCGATTACCGTCCCTTTAGCCAGGAATAGCGCCATTGCGAATACCGTCACGCCTATAATGATCACGGTGATGAACTTTGATTTATCGGATAAAATGACAGATTATATATCAGACATTTCTGTGTTTTCGCGATTAATATATCATAAAATGCCGTTTTCGAACAAATGAGAGGTATTAAAACTTTATATAATCGGCAATGTTCTTTTTCATAGTTGCTCATCACTTGTCTAACTCCATATGCAAGTTCCTCACTGCAGTCACACATGAATTGAGGTGTAATATAATTAAAGAAAGATAATATATAAATATAAAAAAATTAATGCAAAGAAATGTGTAATAATAAGAAAAGAAAAGTAATCATAGGAAAGATGTGGTACAAGATTGTACCGTGAAAAAACATACAGTGCTGCTATGCATGCAATTATATTGATTTATTAATTCATCAATAATGCACTTCTAATGATCATCTATCGATCGCTAATGAATACTATAATAAAGAATAGAGAAGATCGCTTATGAAAGTTGATTTTTAATTTGTCGATACTAATTAATCATATTTGTATCGATTGGTGGACCAGTGTGATTCTGTCTATGCTATACATTGAATTATGTGTGAGATACACACACACACAGAGATTAACACTAAATTCTCGCATACCGATGCTAGACAAAACAACCAAGCCCTAATACTTGGAGGTAAAACGTTGTCTATTATGTCAATGTCCTTCCCAAAACGGTTTAATATTCTGCCGGACGGTGTAGTGTCAAAGAATCCTAGAGGTGATCGCAGTATACCGAACAATAACTCTGAATGCAGAAGTTTACTGCTCTGCAGACATCCGACAACCAACGCTGTCTGCGACAGCACTACAAAAGTGGCTGAAATTTAATGTAAAATTGATTTAAAAATGTGCATTTTATCGTACTCATACTTTATAGGGAAAAATCTTTTTACTACCGATTCGCTGATAACCCTATAACAAAAAAATTATTTTTACGCTTTTTTACACTCTTTGTCCCGTTAGCAATTAACTCGTTAATGCGTACAATTACACATATTATTAACTTCAAATGTTGCATAAAAGCTGCGTTTATGTAGGACAAAAATGTGACATGTTAATTGTTAATTTGGTTTTTCGTAAACAGAAATATATAGTTATATTAATATAGCATTAATGTAATTATATTAATGTGGTAGAAACGTTATTATATTAATGTGGCAGAAATACAATTACATTAATATGGCATTATTAATCATTAACGCTATTACTGTACTTATGACAAAACATGAAAAATAAATCTGGCTAGATTGTCTAGCTCGGGATGAAAAAAAAAATTGGCAGCATATTTCAGATATTATATCTTGCATATTTCTCAATCTATCTAAAAAATTCCTATTTTGCTTGGTACAAAGTTCATTTATGACATATAATTGTCTATGTAAAATATGAGACGTAAATATATCCTAAGAGAATATATAAATAAATGTGTTACATGAATTAATAAAAAATACACATACTTAACTTTCAAATTAAGTACATTGATTCTTATTAATACAATGTGTACATTAAATAATCCGAACGCATAATTTAATATTAAGAATGTTCGGATGTTCTTGAATAGAATAAAAATCGAAATGTAGTACATCGAACTGATAAGACTATCGTTCGAATTAAAGAGGAAAACAATAAGAATGACCGGTAAATGAAATATATCTCAAGTCTGTCTTTATCAGTTTGAAGCGTGTGATCTTCTAAATTAACACACGTTATACTGTGCTTACTACAATCATCCATCCTAATTTACATACAATCTGATCAGGAAATCAGTGCAAACTTTGATCTGTGTTTAATTAAATAAGGATTTTTTTGTTATTGATTTATATTACAATTTGTGTCCTAAAATAATTTTAATTAAGAATTTGAGCACATATATATTAAAATAGTCGATTAATCCATACAGACTGATTTCCCGTTTTCATTATTTTAGAACACATTAAATGCTAGGAAGCTTTCTTCTCTTTCTCTATTTCATGCTTGTATTAGACATGTATAATAATATATTATTATTAAATCATTTGCATTTCTTTCATTTACGAAATAAATTCTAAATAACTCTAAAGCGATAGAACATCATGATTTATGGTTTATCCAACTGATGTTTAGCAAATGAAATTGATAAAAAGCACAGGGAAATCTTTTAATTTTGTATAACATTTTAGAACTATCGCAAAATCATAAAAGAAAAGCGTATATAAATACATCATGTTCATTGATTGTACTATTCTATATAAGTGTGCTATTGTATTATTCTATATATATATGTGTCAATAATTTTGCTGCACCACTTTTTGTCCATATAATCATTAACTATAAACTTCTTTTTCGTATAAAAATTTTAGATTATAAAAATAACTTAAAAAAAAAAAAAAGATAAATTAACAAAAGATGCAAATTGCATCTGCATAAAAAGCATTTCAAACAAAAAGATTTTCCATGCAATAATAAGGAAGCAATCATTCGTAGAAAATTATCACTACGATACTTGCAATCAAAAACAGATGACTACTGAAAGGTTTCAATCTCAAATTGGCTTTTGAGTATTTTATTCGTATATTAGAGCAGTGTAGACACAGCAAACCGCACTCATTTTGATTTCTTAAGAAATTAGCCGAATAACTTTTAAAATTCAACATGTAGCATTTAAAATAAATTCGCGGAAATAATACGAAACAGAAAAATTGCATTACAACTGGCGTTAGTAATTAAATCATAATCAAGTTTTTATAATTTATTAAAAATTCAGCTTAATGGAGTTCTAAATATATACAAAAAAAGCAATGTTAAAAGTAATTACCCCAATGATGTGTAATCTGTGAGGAAACATGCCTTTCAAATCACTATATACTATGACGAGCAAAATAAAGTGCCATTGCCTATATTGAACGAAGTAATTGCCGTCTGCGATAAAAAAAGGAATATTTATACAAATACATTTGTACAAAGTAGCAACGGCAGGGATAAGCTTACCTGAATATCGAAAACGTTCTTTATAGAGTGTTCTATTTGACGCTACAAAAGTTTCAAAGTGTTTCATCAATCAAAACAAAAGATCCAAAAATTTCTTTGTTTTGCTTGATGAATAAAACGATTGGAAACTTGTATTGCGTTAAATGGATTGCACCCCGCGTAAACGCGAAATTTTAAATACTAACTAATCGGATCTATCTGCCAAATGGACAAGATGTTACAAAGATCAATGTATCATACAGAGAGAGAGAGAGACAGAGAGAAAGAGAGAGAGAGAGAGAGAGAGAGAGAAAGAGAGAGTTGTCTAGCTCGGGATGAAAAAAAAAATTGGCAGCATATTTCAGATATTATATCTTGCATATTTCTCAATCTATCTAAAAAATTCCTATTTTGCTTGGTACAAAGTTCATTTATGACATATAATTGTCTATGTAAAATATGAGACGTAAATATATCCTAAGAGAATATATAAATAAATGTGTTACATGAATTAATAAAAAATACACATACTTAACTTTCAAATTAAGTACATTGATTCTTATTAATACAATGTGTACATTAAATAATCCGAACGCATAATTTAATATTAAGAATGTTCGGATGTTCTTGAATAGAATAAAAATCGAAATGTAGTACATCGAACTGATAAGACTATCGTTCGAATTAAAGAGGAAAACAATAAGAATGACCGGTAAATGAAATATATCTCAAGTCTGTCTTTATCAGTTTGAAGCGTGTGATCTTCTAAATTAACACACGTTATACTGTGCTTACTACAATCATCCATCCTAATTTACATACAATCTGATCAGGAAATCAGTGCAAACTTTGATCTGTGTTTAATTAAATAAGGATTTTTTTGTTATTGATTTATATTACAATTTGTGTCCTAAAATAATTTTAATTAAGAATTTGAGCACATATATATTAAAATAGTCGATTAATCCATACAGACTGATTTCCCGTTTTCATTATTTTAGAACACATTAAATGCTAGGAAGCTTTCTTCTCTTTCTCTATTTCATGCTTGTATTAGACATGTATAATAATATATTATTATTAAATCATTTGCATTTCTTTCATTTACGAAATAAATTCTAAATAACTCTAAAGCGATAGAACATCATGATTTATGGTTTATCCAACTGATGTTTAGCAAATGAAATTGATAAAAAGCACAGGGAAATCTTTTAATTTTGTATAACATTTTAGAACTATCGCAAAATCATAAAAGAAAAGCGTATATAAATACATCATGTTCATTGATTGTACTATTCTATATAAGTGTGCTATTGTATTATTCTATATATATATGTGTCAATAATTTTGCTGCACCACTTTTTGTCCATATAATCATTAACTATAAACTTCTTTTTCGTATAAAAATTTTAGATTATAAAAATAACTTAAAAAAAAAAAAAAGATAAATTAACAAAAGATGCAAATTGCATCTGCATAAAAAGCATTTCAAACAAAAAGATTTTCCATGCAATAATAAGGAAGCAATCATTCGTAGAAAATTATCACTACGATACTTGCAATCAAAAACAGATGACTACTGAAAGGTTTCAATCTCAAATTGGCTTTTGAGTATTTTATTCGTATATTAGAGCAGTGTAGACACAGCAAACCGCACTCATTTTGATTTCTTAAGAAATTAGCCGAATAACTTTTAAAATTCAACATGTAGCATTTAAAATAAATTCGCGGAAATAATACGAAACAGAAAAATTGCATTACAACTGGCGTTAGTAATTAAATCATAATCAAGTTTTTATAATTTATTAAAAATTCAGCTTAATGGAGTTCTAAATATATACAAAAAAAGCAATGTTAAAAGTAATTACCCCAATGATGTGTAATCTGTGAGGAAACATGCCTTTCAAATCACTATATACTATGACGAGCAAAATAAAGTGCCATTGCCTATATTGAACGAAGTAATTGCCGTCTGCGATAAAAAAAGGAATATTTATACAAATACATTTGTACAAAGTAGCAACGGCAGGGATAAGCTTACCTGAATATCGAAAACGTTCTTTATAGAGTGTTCTATTTGACGCTACAAAAGTTTCAAAGTGTTTCATCAATCAAAACAAAAGATCCAAAAATTTCTTTGTTTTGCTTGATGAATAAAACGATTGGAAACTTGTATTGCGTTAAATGGATTGCACCCCGCGTAAACGCGAAATTTTAAATACTAACTAATCGGATCTATCTGCCAAGATGTTACGATGTTACAAAGATCAATGTATCATACAGAGAGAGAGAGAGACAGAGAGAAAGAGAGAGAGAGAGAGAGAGAGAGAGAAAGAGAGAGAGAGAGAGAGAGAGGGAAACATACCTTGTCCAAAACCAAGTACACCGTATACTCCGAGATACATGTCCCGTTTTGCCGTGTCGACGGTGGCGTTCACGATCATCTTATCGTCATTCGACCAAACACTGAGCCAAACACTCGAACCGATGCTGAATGATTGAAAGACCGCGTTCATCACGATCGTTGATATCGACAAGAACCATCCAATAGATTTCAAGTAGTGAGAATACACTTTCCATTTTACCTTGTGAAAAAATATAATATATACGTATAAAAGAGAAACTCTTTTTCTTCATAAAAATGTAAATTGTGTTTCATATATATTTTTCTAAAAATTAAAGTAATACATACGCTTCCAGTTTCCGCTTTTTCAGTTTCTATCAGTTTCTCTCCAATAATATTAGATTTTGGTGCTTCTTTTTCCTTTATGCTATTGCTATGCACATAATTTGCCGATTGTTGACTTTCTGTTGAATATTGCCTATTCACGCATAACATGCATTATTTAATCAAACATATATTTAAATTCCCGTTATTATTCATTATAAACAAAATATATATTTGAGATTATACCTTGTTAGAGAACCATTGAGTGATTTTCTATCAGTTCTATCGGTCATAGAACCAGATTCACTTAGACTTTCGGATATTCTGGATCGTACTCGAGTTAACTTTTGCTGCAATTCGTCTGCTCCCATTGTTGATTCAAGCTGTTGTTTAATTTCGCGTAAATCTGCTTCGGAACCTTCATCAACGTGCACTGTTTCAAATTCGTCATACTGATCTTAGAATGTTGATAAAACTCATTCACACATAAAATGTATTAATGTTGTAATGGGAGAAAATTCAAGAAATTGCAATGCATATTTTTTTAAATACAAAGTTAAAAATTAAAGAAAATTTGAATAAGTATTTGGATTAAGTTAGAACTAGAATCTTGTCTGTCTACATATATTCAACATAAAAATTTCAAAACATTTCAGTTTAATAACTTGAGAAAATTTCAATATAAACACTGAGAAAATTATTTATATATTAAAGAATCTTTTAATTTTTAATAAAGTGCACGCAACATGCATTAAAAAATTCCATTTTGTCAAAGCTTCTTTTTCTGTTTGCATAAGATTATGATTAGTTTTATACTGATAACTACTTATTAGCTCTATATGAATAATACTTGTCACTGTTTTATCAGCAAACATAAATTCATGACACAAGATTTTTAATTTAATAAAGTATTTCGTGACAGTCTAATACTAAAAGCGAATATGACAGCGATATTTCTTATGCAAGCATATACAAAATAGGAACAGGAATTGTAATTACTTTTTCACGGACTTACGATTTCCAACTTAGATCCATGAAAGAAAAGTATAACAATAAATTTTATAATAGGTACGATAAAAGTATGCGCAACAAATTAAATTATTATTAATAGATACCTTCTTGTAAGTGATGCACTAAAAACTCGGCGAAAGCGCCCTTTTTCTCCAACAATTGCTTGTAAGTTCCACTCTCTGTTATCTCACCGTCCTTAAGAACAATAATATTATCGACCTCCGGCAAATATGTGATGCTATGTGTAACAAGTATCCTTGTTTTCTTCTTCAGCAGACCGTTCGGACCTATTACATTCTCAAAAATGTGTTTTCCTACATGCGAATCCACCGCGCTCAAAGGATCGTCTAAGAAATAATTTTCCGAGTCGTTATATACAGCTCTGGCTAAGGCTACTCTCTGCTTTTGACCGCCGGATAGATTTATGCCCTTTTCCCCGATCTCTGTTTGATCTCCCGCAGGTAGCATTTTGAGATCCGGACTTAATGCACATCCTTCAATTACGCGATTGTATATCGATTTGTTCAAGGCCTTTCCGAACAGAACATTGTCCTGCAATGTGGCATTTTGTATCCATGGTTGCTGAGAAACGTATGCAATCGGGCCCTGCAAGCGAAAAGTATTCGGAATAAATGTCCAGATTCCAATCTATATCTTATTTATTTAATTAGAGAAATGCACAAAAGCGCAATCCCTCAATTTTATCTGCACTAAAATTAGTATAGTCTTATCTATATTTTCCTGCATCATTTCTAAGAAATAAAAGCATGAGACAAAATGTACATTTATATAGTTACATTTTTAATTCATATTTAAAGAAAAAGAAAAATTGAACTATTCATGCAAATATGAATATTTTTTAAATTTTATTATAATTTTTATAAAATAAGACAAATTAACGCGTTTTTTGCTTCTACTGTATTTTATATTTATAATTTAACAAAACAATATACTCACTTTTGTGTTTACTTTTCCACTTAATTTTCCCATCTCACCAAGCAGAGCAGATAGAAGGGAACTTTTGCCTGATCCCACTGTACCAACTACTGCTATTAATTGACCTTGTTCTACATGGAAATTGATATTTTGTAGTATTGGTCTCTCAATATGTTCACTGTCCCAACTGAAGTTACCATTCTCAATTATTAATGCGTGTGCTAAATCATGTGATACAATGCGTGTTACTATAAACGTATTATATATACTATCCATGTAAAGAATTATCTTTAGTAGAGAAAATTTTATTCTTACCTTCCGATGGATCATGCTGTACATTATTAGGATCCAGCTCCTCCATGTTCATAAATTTATTGATGCGTTTTACAGAGACATAAGCCTAAACGCAATGCCACATGAATATCATTAATTGAGAATAAAACACTGAATATATATCTGTGGTTGCACAGATAAAAAATAGATTAAATAACTTAAACTTACTTGAACTATATTACCAATCATCATGGGCAGCATAGAAAGTGGAAATCTTAAGATGTTGAATAAACTGAGTGAAACAAAGGCAGTTGTACTGTTTAGGACATTATTTTCGTCTATAAGTACATAAGTTGTAAAAGATACCAGCGATACCTACAAATTTATTATAAAAGAGTAAGACAATATGTGAAAAAAAAGAAAAAAAATATAATGGAATATCTTTTACATAAGTAATCGGAAACCTCAGAACACAAAGCTTTTATTATAAAAATTTAAAAACCATGTTATGTTTTTTTAGAAAAAAAAGAGGGAAAGAACAAGTATTTCAGAGATTTTCAATATAAATTTATAATTCGAAACATACCAAAAAGGGTGCGCACGACCATATAAAGCTCGTACCGGCATTCAAATACGCCGCTTCTTTTAACACTTGGATTTCCTTGATTCTGATTTTAAGTATCTGCTGCTCGAATGAAGGTTCCCATGCGTACAGTTTCAACACTTTAATACCGTTAAGTACTTCGTTCATTAACTTTACCCTCTCGTCCTTGCTTTTCATCTGTCTGATTTGTAATGTTTTCACTTTGTTCGCGATTAACCCGTTCACGGGAATAAGAATGATCATAACTGCTAGACCGGCAAGTACCGCCGGTCCCAATATCTCCCATAGAAAGTACAAAGCTAAGGCTATTTGTAAAGGAGCCGACCATATCATGTTTATGTACGCGGTTAAGTCCATAAATCTTTGAGCATCTACAGACATTAAATTTACTATTTCACCGAGCGTGGATTCTTTCCTGGCCGCGTTCGACATTCTCAATGCTTTACGATAAATTGCCGCAATTAATGCGGTACGTATGCGCAATCCAACTAAGAACATACGATGAAAATATTGGGATAATATTAACGTCTGAAGTATTGCTGTAAGTAAAAGTAATACGGAATAAAAGTATCCTTTCCACATTTCCTCTTCTCCCTCGATAAATGCAATTAAAAGCCTAAAGAAAAAAACAAGAAACATTATAAATATACGCATTATATAAACCTAAAAACAATTAAAACATTCTCGTAAAAAATATTATTTCCATATATGTTTTGCTTAATAAATCGAGATGGAATAAAATAAAGTCTAAATTGGACATAAACCAAAATTTGTGTCACACGCCATTTGAATATACTTACTTTAATATTTGAGGGCTAATAAAAGTCATAATGTCTTGAATCAGTTTCAGGAAAGCGCCAAACATGAATGTCGCACCGAAAGCTTTGCAAATAGGTGGTAGGATAGAAGCAACTTTCTTTTTTCGGGTGCCATTAAAGTCCACTTGTCCAGATGCTTTTCGGAATGATGCTTTTGCACTTTCTACTCTATATGTATATAAAGAACGTCCATTATATATGTTTATAATTTAGATTGTGGGTGTTAATGATAAAAACAATTGAAAAACGTTATACGACACATCCTACCTAAAGTAAGTCCAAACCAGCCTTGTTAGCACAAAAAATGTATGAATATATTGTTAAAAAGCTTTTAATCAAGATTATATTTTTCCTATATTTATATTTATAATAGATTTCAATACAAGATATATGCAAACAATATGAGTTTATTACATATCAGCTAATAATATAATATAGTAATATATTTTGATGTGTATGAGAGAAAAGTAAAGATAAGTATAATTGTGAATCTATATATATATTTATTTCATTTCATTATTTATTATTTCATTAATATATGTATATAAATTTAAAATATGTTTAAAGGAATAAATCTCTATGCATCAGAAATTTAACATTTCTAATAAATGTATTTTCCCTTCAATTTGTATGCTTTGTATTCAATATTAAATACAATACAATTGTAGTCAATATTAATATGACATTAATATAACATTTCTTTGCAATAGATCTCTTTTTATAATAATAATAATAATAACAATAATAATAAAAAACACATTAGCTAATTATACTGATTGCAGGTACAATTTGTATAGAAAGATTCATCAAGTAAACTTACTCTTCTGTTTTTATCAAGTTTTTATTCCAATATTTATCGAATCTCGGCACTATTTCCGAAGCCATGTCCTCTGGATTCATGGACCACAGATCGGATGTTTCCAGCGGTTTTCGGAAACCTTTCCATGCTAAGGAATCAAACCACGCAAAAAGAATTCTTGATGGGAAAGAAGAGCTTTGCTCTGGACACGGCGTTTCGACCTGTGAGTGAATATACATATTTTCAAGATTGTTTACAAATACCGAAAAACTTCCAAATTTTACAATTGATTCTAAGATTTGATGTTTATATGTTCCACACAAATTCAATTTAACATTATATGTCACTGCAATCAATATAAATAGATTACCGTAGGATATTCGGAGAATTTAGGCTCTGCGTCGACCAGGAAATTAAGTACAAACAATATTACAACTATTGGATAATAGGTCATGTAGCATACCAATAGGTATGATGGCTGTTCCTAAAAACAAATTATTATATTGTACAAATCGCATTATTTCTGAAAATGTATATATATAACTACCTTTCTTATAAAATATTATAAGAGACTGATAACAAGTTATGGTTGTGATAAAAGTGGGTTTTCAGAAAATTGTAAAAAGAAAGATCTATGTAAAAAATACTCTTAACATATATATATACATTCAAGCTGCTTTAATATCATAAAAACTTGACATACCCCTTCGATTAATTCATTTATAGAAAGTCTGTATTGTACACATCCACATAATGCAAGGAAAAACCAAAATAGGAATAAAAGACCTGACGTCCGCATTCCACGTTTTCTATTATATGTCATTAAAATAGATGCTAATATCTGAAATACAATTGACAAATTGAATTAAATATTACATAGACAATTTGTGTAATAAATAAATATAGTTATTTTTCTCGCGCGTTGCGACGAATCAGTAATAAAAACTTTCATCTTGGAAAAAATAATAAGAATATTAAAATATATAAATATATCAAAAAAATATATCTAGAAAATATTATTAATATAAAATGTTATTGTGTACTTACAAAGGTAATAATTTTTATAAATGGTGTGTAATACTCTACACTATAGACCATACGATGACCACTTGCATTCATCGCCAGTAGTATCTCAACTATGGAAAGTATAATTAATGCTACTGTAAGTACTTGCTTAGAAATAAATAACCATGTGTATGGGACATTTCTCCTTTTACTATTTATAAGGTAATATGCTTCCATCACTGAAAATACCCATAAAAATACACATGGTACCCATACTAATATCGTTTTTTGGAAGCATTCTGTTAGATCCGGATCGTTTGTATACCATGTTAGATTAGCATCCTAGAACAGTCAGAAATTTTCGACCGAAGTATTAATCTCTTTGTTATATCAACATTTTTAATATAGGATTAAAAAAAGAATCAATACCATTCAGTGAATCCTTATTAATGGCTAATATATTTCGATAATGAACTAAGATACAAGATAAAAAATACATAATAAAAGAAAACGTCTTATTATCTCCAAGAAAATCCGAGAAGCTTATAAATAAAATTCTCTATTTATCTCTTTATATAATAACTGAGCATTTCGATACCTGAATCGTACCGATACTTAATGTTGCAGACGAATAAAAAAAGAGAAGGTTCGGTCACTCTATTCTCTATTCGATACGTTCAGGAAATTAAACTATTACACAACAGTTTGCGGCAACCGAATCAACGAGTCAATTATTTCGACATTTTTATGGTTTTTTTTCTTTTCTTTTTTTTTTTTTGCTTTATACTATTCCGTAATTTTTTTTCAATATTAATATTCGCAAACAATATAAATTTCTCCACCATAAGCATGTATATAATATTTTCGTATTCTTTTGATTATAAAAGAAATTTTGCATTTGATCTTAATCAAATATTTAAAATTCGAGAATTTTATTGTTAACTATTCTTATTAATGGAGTGTAATATTATTCCAGTATTTGTCGACTCATTTTTATTCTTTGCGAATTCTGTGCCAACGAGATAATTACAAAGTTGTTTGCCGTATAAGCATCCTCGCTTACGCTTCATATTATATTTGTCTTTGATCTTACGATTAAACATATGACAAGACAATAAAGTGCAGATAATAGGAATCAATTGATAAAACGAGCATATTTGCTCACGCGGCGTCTAGATTACATCCTACTTCGCGCGCGCACACGCTCGCTACATTTTTTTCTGCAATTTTGAGAAATTGACATATTGTGCAACTATAAAAATGACATTTTCTTATATTTCACATTGGCTTTCTATTATTAGTCATTGTGGAAGGCGTGTTCGTATAGTGTCGAAAGACAGCAACGGGGAAAAGCGAGATGACGTTGGAAATCGAACGATTCGGATATCGTGGCTTTTAAGGACAAGAGCGTC